TCTTTTTTTTTATTTTTTGTTGATTAACCATTGAAGCATCGATCTGCCTTCAAAGGAAAACGTAACCTACAGTTAGCATATGCAGGCGTTGGATGATTTTTTAAAAATGTTAACAACAAATTGCCATTTAGGAGCTTAACCTTTATAAATGTCGATGGTCAGACTCAGAAGGTCAAACTAAATAATATATGAGATGTTTTATTTTATAATCCCTTTTTCCACCTTTTGCAACGCAGAAGTAATTTTCTGTGAATGTGCGAGACTTCCGTTACATTAGCCGCTAGAAGAACAAAGAAGTGTGTTTATAATTACGACAATACATTAAAACATAGCCTACCAGTTTGAAATATCAAGCAGCAAACAAGCTGTTTTGTAAAGCTAAAAATAACTGGAAGCGAATGAAGCCTGGCACATGCATGTTACAAATGACTTTTTTTGAAATGCCAAGCAATAAACATCAAAATAGATAAATAATAATAAAAAAAATTATTCCATTTAAAAATAAAATAAATGTTACATCTAGCTACAACTACAACTAACTGCAAGCAAATAAGTGCAAAAAAAAAAAAAAACATTCACCTTTTGGTCAGGCAAGGGACAATATTTGTCTGAACCAAAGCAGGAAAATACAGAAGCAATAAGCAGTTGTTGTTCTCTGTGTGGTCCTCTCATTAGTTTTGGCAAGGCCTTCCCAACAGTGGCCGAGACACAGGAGTACCATTTACCTTGACGGCAATAGTCCCATGTTAAACACCAATGAGAGAGACGTTCCCAAGCTTGTCTACAGTTCTGGCCTGATCAAACAAAGGGGAAGTGGTCTAAAAATAAACTGAACACATTAATGAGTGATCTGCAGGTAGCGAAGGCGGTGCTCTTTGTTTGTTTTTCACTGAAGGTGTGGATTTGTCCGTCCTGCTGGGAGTTCAGAATGGGCTTCTGGTTGAAATAATGAAGATTTGTCCATTTTGACCTGCTGTTTGGAACACTTAAATCTGGAAATTGCTCTCCGAGGCTGATCCTCAACCTTTTCCCTTTCAAATTGAAATTCTTGACATGACCCGTTTTGAGAAGGTAAGAATCTAGGAGATGTGCCAGCACACACACACAAAAAAAAACAGCTTTGAGAATAAGACAATACTGCTCGTGTTCCAAGCCCTCCGCGGACAAGAAGAAAAAGTGGCAAATTCAAGCAACAATTAATTTGCACAATATAATCCACTTCTATTCCCTGCCAGCAGGATTTATGCCAACTCTGCACATGAGAGCCATGAGGCTCTCTCTGGGCAGGAACAATTTCATCAGCTCTCCATGATTGATGAGGAGAGCAATGAATCTCTGGAGTAACAAGGCAGAAACAGTCTTTCCCTCTCTCACAGTCCCTGTCACCTCTGTTTCCCTGGCGATTTCCTGATTTCCGCAAATCTTCTGCTCTCGTCACTCTCCATCATTTCATTCTGGCCTGCTCTAATGTACATGGATAACAGATCTAGTTAGTGAAATAATTGTTGTCAATCATACTAAATGTAGTTAGTCACAATGTAATAGGGGGCGATATTCATTTAGAAAAGGATTTAAAGGCACACAAAAGCAATTTGTTCTTCATTTAAAAAAGTTTTATAGATTGAAAAAATGAATCATACTTTTGAAAAAATATGAGATAAAGAGTCCAGTCTTGCCAGTAGCTTAGTAAATGTTTTATATCTATATGGAGCAGGTCTCCACATGGGGGCAGCCATTTTGAGAGCACAAAATCAGCCTAAATTAGTTTTTTCGTAGTATCCCCCTATTTTTGATACTTTCACTGGTGGAATATATTAACTGTGTCTGCAAATAGCGCATCTCTTTGTGGATGCTTTGTGGAGTTATATCTCACAAAATATAAACTTATTTTTCAGTCAGAATTGTGAGATAAGTTGCAATTACCTTTTTAAAAAGATTTTTTTTTAAATGTGAGATGTAAACTTGGATTTGTGAGGGAAAAAAAGTCAGAATTCTGAGTTTATATCTCGCAATTTGTACTTTTTCCCCCCTCAGAATTGTAAGATTATATCTCAAAATTCAGTTTTTCTTCTTAATAATTGCAAAAAAAAAAAAAAAAAATCTAAATTCTAAGATATCAAATCACAATTGTGAGAAAAAAAGTCAAAATTGTGTAATAAAAAAAAGCAATGAACTTTTTCAATGTTTTTTTTAATCTCGTGGCAGAAACAAGCTTCCATACTTTTCTATGACTGCATAAAAACGTTTGCAAATTTTCACTGATGAAGGACAGTCATTTCAGTAGTAATCATGAATTGTGCAACAGGTTAAAGTTGCTCATGTGGATTTGTTGAATTGACCAACATAGAGCTGCTTGGTTTGAAAGTGACTTCTGTGTCTGTGAACAGTGCTTCATACATGGCTAGAATGATTTTGCCCATGAAATTTTACTAATTTGACAGCACCTTATAAGGCAAAACCTGTTTGAAAACAGTTGCTAGTGGTGCAAAAAAATAAACATCACCTTTAATGTCTGAACTTCATAAACATTAGTGAGCCAAGTAACGGCTAGAATAGAAAGTGACATGAGGGACAGATAATCGTGTACCACAATAGACTGTACGGGTGGTACTCATGTTGACGTTATCCACCTCCAAATTTAGCTCCATTACTAAAATAACTATAATCCATCAAAGCGAATCAGCCCTGCGCTTGCTTTCACTGTAACAGAGGGACAGTTCACAATGAGGACTTTGACCTTACATGCCATTAAAACGATGGCTAAAGGAACAAGCTTTATAAAAATCAAAAGCTGTAGAAAATAAAAGTGAATTTTTCAGCAGTTCAGTTTGGCCTCAGATGCCATGACCGATTTATGAAGTAGTACTGCCTCACTGACACCTCCCACTTCTGCACTTCCTCCATCCCAAACAAATCAACTTATCTTTGATTTGGTCACACTGTTTGATCAACTGTTGTCTTATATTCTTCTTTTAGAGCTCACATGATTTAACAGCTTTTTCGGGTGAAAAGGTTACTTCAGACCTTTCAGTAGAAAATAATGTTCCTGGCAACACAAAGACCAAGGTTGATCACTGCCGCAGTGCCCTCCAATTGTATGAACACACATCTAGTGCCCTGCTGACACTCCAGGAAAAAAAAGGACTGATAAGAGTGAAGATATAAATAAGAATGGCAGCTAGGAGGGTCTTCTGGGCGGGCAACCAATTACAGATGACAGCATCAGATTGTGTGTGGTCTCTTTCACCATCAAAAGACAAAACTCCCTTGACGACTGGCCACAAAAGGACCAAGGACACCCTGCTCAAGACATGCAGGAAGGAAGAAGAAGAGCCTTTTCTAGACTCTGAAAAGTTCTAGAGTCATTTGACCATTGCAGAGAAGGTCTTGTTAGGCTTCCTGTCCCCATCTCACTCCATAAACACCAAGAGAGACTCTGCATAACATCTAAGTGCAGGCAGTCCTGATTAACATCCATTTGAGCAGAAAAACAGAAAGACCGGACTTGGATCCCAAAATAATGAAAAATGTAATGAAATGTATCTTATTCCAATAAATGTTTCGCCTTTGGCTACTGGTCTTGATTCTTGGATATTTTGAAACATTTGCAGTTTATGCCAAATATTCACATTACATCATACTCCCTTGTTTTTTTTTTGT